ATATTCTCCTGTAATATTTTCTCCTGGACATGTGGAACACAATATTCTTCGTGCATGTTAGCCTGAATTTTGAGTTTCAGCATTCACACAAATGTAGCCCTCCCATAACTCATGTCTCATTGTGAAATTAATTCTTTTGATGTCAGAATGGACAAGTTCCTCAAATTCTCAAAGCGAAATCTCAATTATAATTCATGACTAACATATTGGAAATAAACATAATGGACCTGTTTTTCTCACAATTGTTAAGTATATTGCTTGATGTAAACGTGAATGTTGGTCGTGAATTTATTAGCAGTTCTTGAGTTGGTCATGAATTTATTTGTAGTTCTTGAGGATTGCAAAATATTATTTTCAATAACTAGAAAGATGGGAAATGAATTATGCCGGGAAACAGTCTTTAAGCTTCACCCCTCTTGCCATGTTGTGGTTCTTGCTACTATTAGCATTTCTTAATGTTCATTTTCTTATTTCATGGAGCAATTCTGAGTATTCATGTTTCTTAGTTCATGGAAGTTCATAAGATTGCAAGTATACTTACAGTTTTTTATTTCATATACAGCTCTAATGGGCCAACAGGATTTACGATCCGTAAGTCTGCTTATCTACATTCTTTATATTAAAGTCAGGAAAAGGGTTTCGATTTCTAGTTGTTTGAATTCAACTATGCATGTGGATGGTGGGATTTACTTTGTAAATTGGACTAGTTAGGTATGCCCTGTCAACACATATTTAGTGAAAGCTTGTATAGTCTTTTTATGATGACTGGTGTAACTTGCTATATATGTGATGTTCTATGCAGATGGACTTTGGGCAGATTATAATGATGGAACCTGGCCTTCATGTTGTAGTGGGAAAAAATTTGATGCCAAAGAGGTGCAGTTTTTCTTGGACCTTAAGTCTTGTTTACACCTATGTAGATGCCTTGAATTATAGAAGTTATATGCCATTTGCCATCTATAATGAGTTTCCTTTATCACTTGGCATAGATCCCAGTTGGGCATCTTAGTTTCTTTTCTTTAAGAAAAAAGAATTCCTAAAGTTTTTTCTTTTCTATAAATATTGTCAACACCTAACTACCAGAATATTTCGTTGTTAGTAAGAAGGTCTCATTGTATGAATTTTGTTGATTTGGTAGTTTGTTTATTATCTCATTTGATTTGATACCTCTGTCATGGAATTAATAATTTCATGTTTGGTTGTTGAAATCTGCTGCATTTGTTTTTGTCTATAGATAAGAGATAATAATTAATTGGTGTGATAGAGATGTTAGGAAATATGTAATAGTTTGGTCAAGATTTGAATCATCATATGTCCTGAGCAAAATTCATTTCCACATAAAGCATTTATTCGTGATAATACTATTCTTCGGTTAATAAATTATTTATTCTTGTTTTTGTTCAGAACTTTATTTTTTATTTTTGTATTAGTAGTTAATTTGTATAGCTTATGTTTCATAGTTTTTATTTTTACTTATAGTGTTATATATTCATTATTTTTGTTATATATTTATTTTATAAATATTTTAGAAACTAAAAACTGAACTTTTGCTACTAATACATGACCCGAGCATCTCATGGGCACACATGCTAGATACATTGGTAGTTGTGTATAACATTTTCACTAAAAGGAGAGTCCGGAATTCATTTGTATGGAAGTTTTAATTTATTTAATTTATTTGATTGGATAACATTAAGTAAGTTTTTTCCTGTTTATTTGGTTTGATAACTTTCATTATTTTCTCACAGCTTATATGATGTTTAATTCTGGTGTGGAATTTATTCATTAATATAATAAGTTGAAATATACTGTTCTATTTTGTATAAAAAGAGGTTTTGAATTTATTATGTAACCTTGATAAATCATTTCCTTTCGAAGTATTTATTATATTCATATTATGTCTTAAAACATTGTCGATTTATCTTTTTTATTTATGAAATGGTTTGGTATCTGTTTATATTTGATTATACTATTGTTTAATTTTATTTTTATTAATTAATCACTTACATAATAAAATAAAAAACACTGTACCAACTAAAAAATTCATTATTAATATACGATATGACATCACACTGACATATACACTAGTTTACTCAATATTGACAATTGTCAATTTAGAAATTTTATAGTTCACTTGTATATGGAATAATATTTGAAGTTCAATGCTGTTTCATCTGAATTTTTTGAAAACTGCAGATTTCTACATTGCTTGATGCTTTGAATAAGTATTGGCCATCGTTAAGCTGTGGTTCCTCGTCAAACTGCCACGGTGGAAAAGGGTTATTTTGGGAACACGAGGTTGTTAATTTACTCTGCTTGCTTCAAAATATGATATGATGATACAAGGACTAATATTTTCTTTTTGTTTTGTCATGTCTGGATTGCAAAAACGTCTGGAAAAAGTGGGGTAACTGTCTTTCTGATGTGTTAATTCTTTTTTGGTTTTATCATTTTATGTGTGATTTGCTAAGTAACACTTACCATATGCATTTATATTTTACAGGACTTGCATAAGTGTGTTTTAAGTAATGCTTAATTTATTATGACATTTGGGTTGTGAATTTGTGGGTGAAGTCATTGTGTTTGCTTCTTCTGTGAACTCAGTTTTCCACCCCACATGAAAACATTGTTGATCTCAGGAAGCCTTTACCTTAAATTTTCACTTTATCCATGTCTCCTCATTCATCACCTTATTACAAAATCTTGAAAGCCCATTGAATCAAACACCAAAAATAAGCTGGATGAAATTGGATATGAAATTGGTAGATTAGTTGAATTGATTTATGTTGCTGATTGAAGTATTGGGTATGCATCTGTCTCCATTAAAGAAGTTAAGTACTTCTAAAGTAGCACAATCATCAAATCATAACTGGTCATCTTCATATTAAATTAATGGAGATGTCACTGTGTGAAATACACCTAAAAGGTGTTAATTCACGTACTCGACACAGTTTGTCCGTCCAATAGCACATGATTGTCAAAGACTTAAATTTGAATAGTTTTTCCCGGAAGAAATCAAAGTCTATTTTTCGTCCTAATCTATGTAGCGGTGCACTTTGTGTGATGTCGCTAGATTCTCCCTTTTCAGCACTTGAGGTTTGAAATCTTAAGTAGGGAACTAAACAGTCTTTTCACAGGATTTTGTGCATGTGAAGTTTTGAAGAATATTTTATTGAATATCTTGTTAACTTCTCTTTTTGACTTCTGCAGAAAAACATGGAACTTGTTCATATTCAGTTACTGGAGATGAATACAATTACTTCTTGACAGCACTTAATGTTTACTTCAAATATAATGTCACTGTAAGTTGACTATGTTCCAGTTTTAAATTGTCATTTCTGTTAATTAAGTTTTAAAACCCCATGAATCAGGAGAGTGTATTATGCAATAATAAATATTGTGACTCAGTATTCCCCCATTCCATGAAAATATAATTTCTTCCTGATTGTTTTCTTCTTCTAGTTTTCAGCTAAGATCATGGTTTGAGCTATCCATTTACTTAGTTTCTTAGTAGCTCTTTCACTCCTTCATCTATGAACATATTACATCATGCAGGAAGTTCTGAGAGAAGCTGGGTATGTAGCATCTAATTCTGAAAAGTATCCTTTGGGAGGCATTATCACAGCCATTCAAAATGCTTTCCATACAACCCCTCAACTCGAATGCTCGGGTGATGCCTTGCAGGAACTTTACATATGTTTCTATAAGGACTTCTCGGTAATTTCTCGATCTCTCTCCCTCCCTCTTCTCATGTATGCTCTTATAAACATTGTTCGTCTGTTTTTTGCTTGTAATTTTGAGAAAGACGTGTTGTTTGCAGCCTCGGGATTGCGCAGCTGGTGCAAACACTGAAAGTGACACAGTCAGTTCGAGCAAGTCGTGCCCCAAATACATTAGCTTGCCAGAATATGTGTCACTGAGTGAGATTTTCTTCACTTCTTTTTCTTTTGAAAGACATGCCCTTCTGATTTATATGTTCGAAGCATTATTTCTGCTTGAAACACCTTTCATGATGATTGCAGTACTTGGGAACAATGGAACTGAAGTCTCAGAGTCTACTTTACAATCCTCCATCTGAGTGAGTTGTTTGATTGGAAACCCAAGTCTGGCTGCGCATATTCTCCATTGGGGAAATTATCTACTGTAAATTATGCCAATTTTTAGGCTCTAAATATTTGATGAAAATTCAGCTAAAATAATGGTGCGAGGATATTCAATGCTCGTTGACTGCAGTTGGAGTTAGTAAATATGTTCTGTTTTATGCAATGGATTGATGTGAATTATGATGAATTCTGTATCTTTCACTGATCACTGATGTATGATTTTCTCCGGTCACATAACCATTTCATGTTGCCAATTTACCACAAAGAAGCATGCCCAAAACTCGAAAAAAATATGAGAGAAATGAAGAGAAATTTGAACCTGAGACTTTGGCTATACAATTAGAGTAGTATTAATGAAATTACTCCCATTGTATTAAATCTTCAAATTCTCTTAAAAAAACATACAAAATTCCTCCCCTATTGACGGACACATTGCCATGTAAAAATTTGTATGTATGGATACAAATTATTATGGACCAGGGCAAATGGGTTTGTTCATGTAAAAATTTGTATGTATGTAACTATGTACACAAATTATTATGGACCAAGGCAAATGGTTTGTTGGAGGGACTTCGCACCTGTTGGATCTACATTGTTTTGATTATATATCTGTGTCTACTTTGAACATGTTTGGAGGGAATAAATAATTAACTATCTTTGTTAACGAATGACCTTTCTAAGGGTGAGTATGGTGCGGTTCGGTGCAAAACCGCACCGAAACGCAGAAAACCGAAAATTTTTATTTACCCAAATCGAACCGCACCAAAACATGTAGAAAAACCGAACCGAAACCGTATCGAAATTTTCGGTTCAGTACAGTGCGGTTTCGATTAACCGCGAATTTAAAAAATAAAAAATAAAACACCAAAAATAAAATGAAGCTACATCATCATCATTTAATGTGCAACATTACCAAACCAAAGTCCAAGATTCGAACTGGAAGTGAAAAACCTAAGGCAAGAAATTAGATTTTAATGTAATGTCATTAATTTTTAAATGTTATTGTTATTATTTATTACTTTACTTGTTTATTGTTAATGTTAGTCATCCCAAACCAAAAGACCCAAAATGAGCATGTATATGTACAATACAAACATGTTAAAATATTTCATATTTGTAAAAATAAAATAAAATAAAAAAAAAACATATTCGGTGCAGTTCGGTTAAAACCGCATCATTCGGACAAAAAACCGAACCGCACCGAAATTTGTGCGGTTTTTCAAAATTTTAACCGCATCGAAAGCCGAACCCTTAAAAAACCGAACCGAACTGCACCGAATACATCGGTTTGGTTCGGTTTTTCGATTTCGGCTCGATTTTGCTCACCCCTATACCTTGCACCTGTTGGATCTACATTGTTTTGATTATTTGTTTTGCACATGTTTGGAGGAAATAAATAATCTAAAATAAATAATTGATTATCTTTGTCGACTTTGAGTTTGCACATATTTGGAGTAAATAAATAATCTATAATAAATAATGACTTTGCACATATTTAGAGGAAATAAATAATCTTAAATGAAATGTAACTTATTAGACCTAATGTGAAATATATAATCTTAAGTGAAATGTCATTTTATTAGTATTTTAGTTACAATCTCCAAACACCAATTAGAAAATTTGGCACGGCCACGGCCACATTAGCCACATTATCTATATGCAGCATGTAGGTAGGTACGGGAAGCTAATTTGTTTTTATAAGGTGAAAAATGGTATTTTAGCCTATATTTTGAACTTGATGCTTGACAAAATTCACCACAGTTTAAGAATAATATACTATATTAATATTTTTAGACCATCTAACTCTAACGATGAATGTGACGATAATAACATAAAATTTGTTATTTATATATTGTTACATATTTTCATTTTTATTTGGGATGGATATGAATGAGAAGGATTAATAATATAAAAGCTTGGCAAAGATAATTTGAGAATAATACATAATATTTTAGATATTTTTATACCACCTAACTATAAAATGAATTTGATGAAAATAACATAAAAATTTGTTATTTTATATATTTTAATTTTTATTTAGGATAAATAATATAAAAAACTTGACAAAACCTAAGACAATTTGAGAATAATCTATAGTAGTTTAGATATTCTTGCATCAAAACATTTGGGTGACAAATCGTATATAAGTTAATTTTTATATGATTAATTCTAGTGCATTAAAGTGTATAAAATTTATTTAATTTTCTTAACTCAAAATACTTTAAAATATACACACGTTCTTATGAATACGATTTAGTTGTGATAGGAACAAATTAATGATATGATAATGGTAAATTACATTTATGTTGCACGAATATAAAATACTACCAACTTTAATATTAACAATGTATTTAATTTTTTTTTAATTATTTTTAAAATTATTTTTAGCATTATCAACCAACTTTAATATTAACACTACCTTTTGTTTTAAAAAGTTAGTTATTATTATTTTTTTTATCACGAGTCCATATTATTTTTGGAAAGTTGATTTGAAAATAAATTTCAGTCCGCGACCAAAAATTAATTTGATTTTTTTTTTTTTTGCACGAGTGCATAAATTTCACTAAGTGCATGCTTGGATTTATGATCAAAGCCGGCCTGATAATCGTCTACATAATGGGAGCATCTCCTTCATTGTATTTACTATTTCATTTTTGTATGATCTGCATATGTTATTTGGGGTTTCAGTTGTCACTACTTTATTATTGCTTGTGATACAACACTTCATGGGTTTCCTGTTTTGCTGCTAAGTTGGTTAAGCTTCTCCAAGAAAAAATTAAAAAAATCTTTGTCAATTTATTGAAAATCTTTCATCAATTGCTAGTAGAGGTGAGCAAAACTAAGCCGACACGAAAAAACAGAGTCGAACCATGCAATTCGGTGCAATTCAGTTTATATTTTTAATGCAAAAAATTTCGGTTCATTTTTTTTTTTTTACATTGCGGTGCAGTGCGGTTATAGTTTTTTATAAGTTCGATTTTTGGTTTTGTTCGGTACGGTGCAGTTTTGCTCCGAACCACACCAAATTGAATAAAATATATAGAAAAATCGAGATAATACGAAAACCAATCCAAACCGTGCATTTTTATGTGGTTTGGTTCGGTTATTTTAGAGTAAAACAAATTCAGTTCAATTTTTTAAATTTGCAGTACAATTCAATCATTATTTTTTTGCTTTGTTCGGATTTTTGGTTTTTTGCAGTTCGATTTTTCACCGAACCGGGCTGCTGAGAAGGTATAAATACTTAAGGTCCTATATTGATATATATTTATTTTATGGTGTAAATTGTAATTGCCATTTCTTATTTTGACAATTCATGCATGCTAATTTGCTTGCTTATATTTAAATAAGAAAATTTGTCCATGCCCCAGCTATAATATAAAGCCGACGTGCCATTGACCATGCATATATAGATTAAGAAAAACACAACATTGGATACCCCAAAAAAAAACAAAACAACGTCAACATAAACAGCCAATGTCTAACAAGGTTTATAAATATCCAGTAAAACAGAAAGGCAATACTCAAAATAGAAAGTAACTTTGGTCTTCTTAACAATAATGTCCTCACTCGTCATCATCCTCGTCCTCATCATCATTTCCCGCTGCAGCATTCAAAGCATTCAACCTCTCGATCAACTTGGCCTTCCTCTCCTCATAAGTCAACTTCTTCAGGTTGAATCTGTAGAGGCATTTCAAAAAACGTAATGCAATCTGATCTTTTAAACAAACAAGCCCACTAAAATTACATGAACTATCTCACCACCAACCGATAGTGCAAAACATGTATCAACGAGAGTTTGTTATGGATTGACTTCACAGATTATATTGTGTGTTATTGCTTATTTATACATAGTTATATACTAAAGTATAATCTAACCTCTTGTGCTCCTTAGGTGGTTGCTTTTGAGCTTTCTTCTCTGTGGGGTCAGCTCTGATGGCTGCATGGACCTTCTTGTACAAAGCCTCGATGTTATCTGCTTCAATACCCTTCTTGATATACTGGCTAAACACAGACTGGTACTTTTCAGGTTCATCTTCCATCAAAGTCTACAGCATTCAAAATTACACAATTACTTCATGAATCCGAACAGCCATATGATGTTCAACAGAATACAGAAAGTAAGACACCACAAGCATATTCAAGCCATGTATAAAAGATGATTACATTCATGTAAGCTGCAACATGGCCACCATAGATGTACTTGCGGTGCACTTCAGGATCAAGTTGCTTGTTGTCCTTGTTAAATCCAGCAAACCTCTTATCACTGTGAGGGATATCAAGTCCACCATCAAGAGCTCCCTGCATCGTAACATAATATCTAATTTAAAAAAAGGAAAAAATGTAAAAGAAAGAGAATACTTAAACTGCTAAATGCTAATCAAGCCTGAATGTACCTTGAGTGCACCAAAGACACGGTTCCCAGTTGTGGTTCTCAAAAGACCAACATCAAGGAGTGCACGGAAGGGCCTCCTGCTTTCAGCTGGTTCGACTGAATAATCCTCTCCAGTGGCCTGAAAAGGTATGACACATGTCAATCACACTACACACACATACACAAATCCTAACAATCATACAAGCATGCACACTAAAAACAGGCAATCAGGCATATGAATGACCTGAACACAAATGTTCTTACCTCAACATTTCCTTCATACTCTTGATCCATTTCAAGCTTTTTCAGCACTCGACGAGCCAGAAGCAGTCCAGTGCAGTAAGCTAGTTCAAAAGATATTATTTCAGTTCCTACTATTAATGAAAACATAGTTTACTCCAATCTTTAGCTAATAAAAAAAATGACAATACCAGCAGCATAGTTGGTGAGGCCAACTTCAAGGCCATAACGGGGCAGCTCATGTGCGTAGGCAGAAGAAAGAACATGGTCACCAGTGATGCTAGCAGACACAACTTGAGCAATTATATCTTTGTTTGTCTAAAAAATATGTTAAGGTAAAAAGAATATTGGCTCAAGACGCAACTGAACAATGGTAATACAGAATATGTAATCCATGTTACCATAATTTCTGTGGTAAATAATGAATCTCAACAAAAGAAAAATAAGTGAATTAAGTCTGGCATGCCTAAGACAAAAGAGATATAAATAGTATGACAGGCAACAAACAAGATGAATGTATAGGACATGCCATTACGACAAAACTAATCAATGCATCAGTGCTTCCAAGATTGGCAGAAAAATAATAATGCATTAGATTTAATACAAACACAATATCCAAAAGTAATGTGGGTATCAGGATACAAATCGCACAACAAATCTGTATTTTGGAGTGTTGTACTTGTTCTTGTCCTGATTGATGAGACGAATCCTTGCCCGGTAATCAGTCTTCCCCTCTGAATTGGAAATTAACAAACATCAATAAGTTGTAAAAATAAATAAACATAAGAAAAACAAGCCAGTTACTGGTGTTTTACGTCTCCTTCTCTTGAATTTGACTTGGAAACGCTTGAAGTAGGCGTTCGACTTCTGGGCTTTGACAAATGCCTGCAAATATCATCACCCATCATTCAAATATACTAAATTAATAAACACTTCATAGTTTAAATAGTTAACAATCAACACTCAACAGCCAAAGCTATACCACAAACAGAAACATCCTATAAAGGATACAACATCCCGTGATATGAGCAGTTCAATCAACTCTGACTTATCCTAAAACCTTTAATTCTTAGCCCAGAAAAAACAGAAACAAAATCCATTTAACAGGGAGCAATAGAATTTCCAACAAATACTCAACTCTTCAAAAAGGCAAAACCACTGTAACAAAAAGCCCGAAAGATGCTAACAAAAGCCCGAAATATGCTAATAAAGAGCCCGAAAGATGCAATAAAAGAATAAATATAGAATCTTTTCGAACTACAAACAGGGAGATAAGGTCTTCAATACAACATTATGATATCGTGCAGCTTCGAATCTTTAACTACGATTAAAACAGCTTAAAACTACAGAAAGATATATAACGAAACGCATCCAAATACACGGTAGAAATTAAACGAGAAGCTCGACCGTATATAAAACCCACTAACCGTGCGGTATCTCAGTATTCAACAGCAGACAATGAACAAAATAAACAATGCTAAACGGGATAAAACAACATATTCTTATATTTTCTTCATTTTCTCACCATTGATCCGAAGCCTCTGCTGCGCTGAGAGAATTCTACAAATGTTCGAGGGAGAAAAGGCTGAGTGAGCTGCGTGAGACCTAAATAGGGTTGAAGAAAACCCTACAAAGAGTGGGCTTTTGCGGGTAATTGGTATATATTGGGCTTATCATTGGGCTGATAAAGCCTGTTAATACATGAAACTCAATTAATTTATTTAAAATATTATAAAATTTAAAATATTGTAAAATTTATTTAAAATATTGTAAAATTTCCCTTTTCAATCACTATTTATTTTCTTTCGAAATTTTCTTTTTAAATATCAAACGTACTAATTTAATTCACAATGTGTTTTCAATCCCTTTTGTAATATTAACTTCTCTTAAATTATGTTTCCAAATTATGATTTGAAAAAAAAAACTATTTTATATAAAATTGTTGTACATCAAATTCCATGATTGTGATCTCAATCTCTTCATATCCATGCAATTTAATAAGTTATTTTTCTTAATTTTTTGTTTCCGAAAATTATGATTTGACTCTATTTTTGAATATTTCCTAAAATATAAATAAATAAAAAGGCTAATATCTTGTTATAAAAAACAATAGTTTTCCACTAAAAAATAATTAGCTATTTAATAAGAAAATTTTGGAAATCAAACTTATCACCGTATTTGAACTAGTACCGGCTCGGCAGCGCATGAAACGTGATAATAATATTTATAATTTAAACTAGTTTGTTATCGGCTGTGTTTTGCACAGTCGGGCTCTATTTGAAATTTATAATTGTTCCAATTAAAAATTACATGAATACTATATAAGTAGTAATTGTTGTACTTAAACTCAAACCAAAGACCTAATTATAAGGATTCTTGTTTTACAATCGATTGAACGAGTATTTGTATACAATAAATGCTTACCATAAGTGCTCCTTCAATGTGAGTCTTCTTGATAATTTTTGTAAATTATTAACCATTGTTAAACTATGTTTACCCAATGGATCAACTCAACCAATTTATAGCATGTAATAATTTGACTTGAGGAAAAAAAGTCTAAAGATAAGGTTGTCCAGTTTATTAAGGTAGTTGTTGTGGCTGGTGGGTCTAACATAACCTCATCACATAACTACTTATATGCTTGTCCTTTGATCAAAATATCATCATGCTACTTGAGTTAACATTTTTTTTTAAAAAAAAAAAAGGATAATAAACAAAAATAAAAAACAGTAATAAAAGAGAGGCACTTTTGCTAATCTTATTACAGTTTGCTATATTGACATTGTAATTAGCTCTTTTGGGTTGAGTCCTGAAGTAATAAGCTGCTAATAAATTGACCCTAATTAACCAAAATTATAAAATTTTATTGACTCAAGTCCTCACACCATATATAAATTCCCAAAATATCCTAGATCTAACTAGAGGTTAACACTTCTATATCAAACCTAAAGCCTTAAAAAGAGATTAGTTCACCAAACATATCATTTCAAAACACACAGATGGAATAATATTATGTAGTTGGTATAGCAATCATATTTGGTGTTGAAATTTGAAAATGAGGAGTTGTCAATTTTTATTTTCTTATTTTTTTTTTAATCCCACACCTTCCATAAACCTCCATGCTAGTCTACAATTACATAATCCAAAAACCAAAAGGAGTTTTTGTCAACAAACATTTCTTTAAGTAAGAGTAGCTATCATGATGATATAACTTGCTCCACTTTCATAAATTTAAGTAGAGAGAGAAAATTAAAAGTGAGGGAGCTAGACATCAATGGAGATGAAGGCAAATCCCAATTTCACTCATTTTTTGTTCCTCATTCTAAGTCTGTTTTTCTCTTATGTCCATTCTCAAGGTTTAGATTCATGTAATTCTCCCATCAACCTCCAAAGCTCTAATGTTCCCTTTGATACCACTTCTCTCCAATGTGTCTCTGTATGGCCTTCTCAAAACTTCATTCTCAGGGTAACTCTCTCTCTCTCTCTCTCTCAATCAAGTTGATTCATAATTTGGTTAAATTTACTTAAGTTGTTATAATTAAATCTACCAAAAAAAAGCCCCCTTTAGATTAATATTACAAATTGCATGATTATTGCATCTAAAGAGCCATAGTTATGAACAATAAGCTTAATTAGGTGATATAAGTTGTTGAAATACATTTTAGTTGCTACCTAACAGTATCATTAGTGAATTTTTAGTCTTTTGACAGTTTTCTCTTTCTAAGGGTTTTTTTTTCTATGATTTTCCTCCGTAATTTTACCATTCTTTAACTTTAATTAACTTTTCCTTTGTGCTCTCGTGTTTTTTTTTCTTTTCTTTTTTTTTAATCAGTATGCTCAAGCATCACAAAACGTGTGGAACTTTTTGCTATCAGCACCTAACCAAAATGCATACGTGGCCATCGGGTTTTCGTCCAACGGCAATATGATCGGGTCAAGAGCCATTGTCGGGTGGGTCGGGTCAGACGGGGTTTCCACCATGCGAAAATACTTTTTGGGAGGAAAATCGCCAAATCTTGTAACAATCGAACAACCTAACCAAGGTTTGCAAGTTGGTAACCAATCCATGGTTGTCCAATCGAGTCAAATATACATCGCCTTTCAGTTGCTAAGCGATTCTCTCAGTACGCGTCTGATATACGCAGTCGGACAGACGGGTCGACTGCCCGTCGGCCCAAACTTTCAATTGTCTCAACACCAAACAATGATTTCCACGGTTCTTAATTATGCCACAGGTCAGTCTTGAGCAATAAAATGGTTAATATGATAGCTAGCTAACAATTTTGATCATGGTATTGGTCAAATTATTCTAACATATGGATTCAAATTTTAAGAGAGAAGGTCTAAAGTAATATTCATTGATAATTGATTCAATGTATTACATATTAAAAAGTGAAAATGACTCAGTCATGGGTCCTACAATCCAAGTGTTTTATCAATTAAAGTAACAAATTCAACGTAAGTATTAAGTAAGACAGCAAATGTGATGATAGTTTAGAGAAATTAATTAAATATATTATATTGTTTTTAAATTTAATTTAAAAAAAAAACTTAATGAATTTCCTTTTTATTTTTAAGATAAATCAGTGTTTTTTTTTGTTTTTTGTTTTTTTTTTTCTGAACCAATTTCTTTTTTCTTCTTTAAGAATGTCAAGTCAGAATTAGCTGTGATTGATGATACATATTAGAAATAGTAATATATGACTTGCTGTTTGGGTTGGCTAGCTAGTGGTTATTAATTTTTTTTTGTTATTATTGATATATAAAATAAGTTGGTTGGGTTGTCACACGTTAATGCATGATGAAATTGAATTCTTGACAATTATTACAGGTGATTGAATCAAATATCTTTACTATTATTTTAATGTTGGATTTAAGTATTATAATTGACATTTGATATATAACCTTTTCCAATGAAAAAAATAGCATCAGAAAATACATGTATATTCATATGAAATTCTATTTACAGGAAAAAGAAAAAAGAAAATTCAAAACTTTCCATGCGAAATTAAATTTGATGATACATGTTGAATCAGAAGACGAGCATGTTTGTATTCTTTTATTGGTCAATGGATGCAAGTCTTATTTATTTATTTATTTTAATCACTCATGCAAAGGGATTATAAACTTATTATAATATTTGTATTTGATTAATTCATTTTTTTTTTAATAATTAATCCGTGGTCAATTGTCTACCTAACTTGTGCTAACCACTCAAGGCCCAATTTTGATGTCTTTGTTGTGTATGATCTTTTAAGGTCAAATATCCCAACCGAACAATACTGCTCTTTTTTATTTTTTGGTGCAAATATAATACTACTTTTCAGTCCAACATTTTAACTCTATGTTTGATTGGGAATTTGAAATCCTAACATTTCTTAAAATTCGAACGATTTTAATTTTTATTCTTTCAAAATATGGTACCCTAAATTTGATGATTGTTGAAAAATTACAAATTAATAATTTATTATAGTTAAATTTTCCGATTTCTACGCCCATCCAAACAAATGTGAGGATTTGAGCTTAGAAAATTAAAACTCATAAATCAAGACACCTCAAATCCAAAATGAATGTGATTAATTTAAAATTTCATCCTAAATAGATCTGTGATGGTTGACTTTCAAGAACCAACCAATGAGGAAGAACTTAATTTTTAGCCATTTGTACTCTTTTGAGTTTTCTTTTTTTTTTTCTTAATATAATTGTTGTTTAAAAAATTGATAAATAAATCAGTTATAAGCAAATAATAAACAAATTCATAAACAATTAATACTAGTATATATATTTTTTTTAATGAAAAACTTCATAATGTACAAATAAAAATAAGTTTGTAGATGGATGAAGTAATTTTCTCAATATTTTTTATCCGATGCAATGCAGGTCAATTTCAATCACAAACAAGCACAGAATCAAGCCTTCGAAGAAGCCATGGGCTGCTGAACATGTTGGGCTGGGCTATTTTGATGCCAATCGGGGCGATGGTAGCCCGATATATGAGGAAATGGGATCCCATTTGGTTTTATTCTCACGCGGCAATTCAATCATTGGGCTTTATATTGGGCCTCATTGGCATTATCTGTGGTCTGGTCTTGGAAAATCGCCTCAATGCCTCTGTTAACAGGCACAAAGGCATTGGTATTACCATCTTCGTAATGGGCTGCCTCCAGGTTAGATTAATCTGATCTTTAGTAACTTTCACAATATTTTTAAGATTACCAATCACGTGTTAAGATTTCGTGACCTTTTAACTGTATACTTATTGTGTATGGTATGTTATTCTCGTACCACGTCAGTTAACGAGCATATTAACCGATTCACACGATAGGCATAATATTACTTGAGTTGCATAGGACAAAATTAAGCAAATTTTCATGCAGGAGTTATTATCTGAATGTTTTTTGCACGGTTCTTCATAAGTAATTTCACTATTTTTTTCAGTTGAATTTGTGTTCATGTGAAACTCAATGCTCATCACTTTCAGAGTACTTCATTTACAGTCATTCTGCACGATTAAGAAATAGAAACAGATCATTATTGTTTATTTTTGAAAAAAAAAAAATATATATATATATATATATTATTCACCCAATAACTTGAGACCAGTTCTCACCGGCACCTTTGGGAAAGAAAATGCATTGCTTCTTAATAACATGTCCACACAATATATTTATTTATTTATCTTTTTTCTTTTTTTAATAATTTGTAGGTTATTGCAATCTTGGCTCGACCAGACAAGACATCTAAAGTGAGGAAATACTGGAATTGGTACCATTTTGTTGTGGGAAGAACATTGATATTTTTGGCAGCAGTTAATGTGTTTTATGGGATCCATTTGGGCAATGCAGGATCCAGTTGGAATGCTGGTTATGCTGTTGTTCTTGCCACCTTATTCATAATTGCTCTTATTTTAGAGCTAAGGAGGATCTTCAGAGAGTGATACTCGATATTTCTCTCTCAACACCCCTTATTATTTAAAATTTTCCCCTTTTTATTTTTTTTGTTTACTTTGAGGGCTCATAACTCATTAATTGTATTGTATTTGTCATATGAGATGTGTATTTCAACTTCTAGGAACGATAGATCGTGTTGTCGTATAGTTTCCGTATTTCATTATTGTGATTTCATATTATTTCGAGCTATATCGGCCATTGTCACTCCTATCAATGCTTTGTGATGCACTCTAGATAACTAACAAACATTTGTAAGCAAAAAAAAAAAGGGGCATATTTCACAATACACTATGATTTATTAACACCACATGCAAAAAACATTACAAGGGAATTTCTTCTTTACCCCTACACAGCTCAAAAGCCCAGAGTATTTCACAACAATACTGCATTTTGGTAAAAGCAAAAATTCTATCTGGGACTGCTGTGTTCTTGCCCTAAGCTGAAAACTGTGCCCTCTTAATTCCATATGGATCGCAAAAAGTTTTCTAAGTATATTTTTATCAGAAACTGTCTCAGTTAGGTCAAATTTACAGACAAATAGATAAAGTGCCTACCGAAGCTTTGCTAGCTAGTAGTCGAGATGTTTTGGCCTCCAATTGTAGGGTGAATTCCATTACTTGCAGACGATCTATCTTTATTCACCCGTTTATAGAACAGAACATAAGCAGCAGCAGATTTAACTTCATCCTCGTTGATTGGTGAGATATGGCTATCGTCAAAAGTGTACCACCTGTTCTCATCCAAAAGCTGCAAAATCATGTGTACATATTTTTTTTTTCAGAAAAATTACTCTAGCAACAAATTCTACTCACTCGGGTAATTGTTTTCAGAAAAAAAAAATATTAACTACTGAGCTTAATATTGCAAACCTTAATATGTGCCGTGTAATGCCCACTTCCCATGCCACCATAGTGATTTGTCAAGGCATAGAGTTCATAGATCTGACGCTGGGTATTGTTCTTGTTCGCAACATAATTCGTCAAATCAAAGTCATGAATGGGAAAATTCACAAAAGTGTCGAGCTTATGCTTCATGGACCTACTGTAAGAGAATCTTTTCAAGTGGATAACAAGAACTTCGGGGAGCCTCCAAAGATCCAGCTTCTTGCTTGCCTGGCGCCTCTCCTTGCACTGAGGGCAGTACCTTCATTATAATTTAAACAAATTATTTAATATAATATATTTCTAAAATACTTGCGAATGTCACGGAGCCACTATAAGTTGTAAGATATTTTTTTTTTCCTTTTTTTTTTCCTGTAACCAAACTCCATACTGAGGTTACTTTTGCAGTAAACCCAAACTACAATTACAATTACAATCTGAACTGAGGGTGTGATTGGTTATAAACTTAACCAAAAAAAACCAATCAAAACTCAACTTTAACCCAACCTCACTACCTTCAATATAATCAAGATAATTAAATAATATCAACTAATCATTCTTACACGTCACATCAACTTTAATTCACTATTCATCCACTCACATAATTCTAACTAACCATCACTTCCAATCATTTTTCTCCTACTTTTACATCAAATCAACTTTAATTATTTTATTTTACATGACATTTTAATTTATACTTAAATTTCCACTAACAACTAACCACACCACATTTTTTCAAAATTAACTATGGTTAAAAAAAAACAATTAAAAACCAATCAAATCCATATCCATTCACACCCTTAATATAATTAGAAGAAATCCCAAGAATCATATGCACGGAAAGAAAAGCAACAAACACATAAAAGGAGAAGGAACTCACCACATGTCCTCAGGGACCAATGGCTCTTCACGGAGAAAAGCTTCAAGACAAGTGTACAGCGAAAGAGGTTCATTGCGAGCTTTCTTGCTCACATGCACGGACTTACAAACTTCCGCCAAATTCTCGATATGGGTAGTATCGTAATTTGCCAAAAGCTTCTGGGACCAGTCAACAAACACGAGAATCGACATGGAGGACGAGGACAGCTTGACCACCATATCACCACCAACAGTTAGATCAATGCAAGCGTTATTTTCATCTACCAACTGCAGTGGAAGCTTGGAGGCCCCAACATCACCTTTTCTTGGACCAGAAGCTTTAGGATCCGCGTGAGATTGAGCTGATGATGCCTTGCTGGCGGTTACTTGTCCGGGGTTTTTGGTTCTTAGCATTGGGGAGAGCATAGTGTGAACTATCCGCTGGATGTCGCTTCTGGTGATGGTTTCGTCACAGGATACTGGTGAGACGAGAGGGGTTCCATAAGGCTTCCACCCGACAGTGCTTTGAGAATTTCCAGAACCGCTAAAGGTTTAAACAGCAAAATGAATAAGAGATATGTTAGAAAGGAAATTCAACAAGAGAGAGAGAGAGGGAGAGAGATTAAAACAGGAAATCAACCATAAAAAAGTAAATAGGTAAAAAATATCAAAGGAATGGCAAAAGAAGAACCTATTATGATTACAGAAGAACCCGAGGGTTGAGGGGTTTTTTTTCCAATAAAAAAATAACAAAACTATTTCTTGCTCATACACAGTTGATTAGCTACTGCTTTCTATCCTTTGCAAGAGATCTATGCATTTTCTTGTANACAAAATTAAATCTCAGGTTTTAATATATAAAACCACAAATGTTCACCCTGAGTCCCTGATGTCGGTTCTGTCTTAAATGTAGGGAATACTGTGGCCTTTTGATATGTTTTCAACATAAAAATCAAACCTCGAGTTTCTACAGTTATTACACAACTCTATGACCGAAAGGGTGAGAATTTTCAGTGCAGAGTAGTTTATTAAGTTCCACATACTGTTGTTCTTCCCGTCGGTGTATTAACTGGAGGAACTTTGTTTTCTTCTGAACTTTAGGGATCTTGTAGGCAGTGAGGTGGTCATCATCTTTAATGGAAGATAGTGATATCAATGGATCCTCCAGGAATCGGTAAATCAAGTGACCTCTTATCTATAAATGGCACAAATATAAATTTTTTAGTTACACACTCGTGCACATAAATTCTTAAGCAACCATGAGAGACTTTCACTGCTCACCTCTGCAAGCAGAAGCTTCTCGTTTATTTGCAAAGAACAAGCATTACTGAGCGCTTGAGACAAATCCCTACAACGCCCCTGCTTCGGTACAGTTACTGTGTAAGCCGAAGGCAGAGCACTTCCATTGCAAGTAAAAACAGTTACAGTCATACTACGAGAGGTAGCTGGTTGAAGTGGCAAGGACAGGTACATGAACGGGTCGAAAGTAACAGAAACCTTGTTACATACAGGACAAACAAGAGTTGACTTATATTGACCCTGCAAAAAAAAGGGCAAACCTTTTAATGCAAACTTCGGTTATAACAATAGCAAGTCCAATTTTGTGATAATGATGTGATTGTCACAGTAGCCACACCCAAGAAACCAGGGAGAAGTGCATAACATTCACGAGCATGTACCTTTTTGTACCACTTTGACTACCTTAGTTCTGAAGGGGCACAAAATGATTAGGATAATCATAAGTAGATATATTGAGAGTATATTATGAAACACGAATCCCAAAAGCAAGTCCATATCAAATATTCACTGCACTAGCAGTGAAAACATAAAACCAAGAAAAGAGTTCTGTGTAACTGTGAACCTTCAATGCTGTAGAACTTTGCAAATTGGTAAACTGCTGGTCAACCATCAAATTTGTTCTATGTAACAGTTCCAGCATGTGAGAAAATATTGAACTAGACTTTGTTTCACGGTTCCACACCACCCCAACCCAACCGATGTACATCTACAACAGTACTGTCAATCAAGCAGTTTCAAATTATTTCAATGAACTTAATGAGCGTTCCAACTAGTAAATCAACATTCAGCGCAATGATATAAATTATGGATTCACAACTAAACCAAGAAAGCCATGTACCTGAATCTTATAAATAAGGATCAGTCTTACTTACTTGGCATACATCCACAATGATTGAATCATTGCGGGCAATATGATTTGCCCAGTACTCATCTGCAACTTCTTCATCAGGTCGGCCATCTGCATCTCGCGACTTTATATATGGCTTGTGTTTGACACGATTAAGATCTTCGTGAAGTCCATCTAACAGAAAAGCAAGGAGTTCCTGCACACAAAGGCAACAAATATTCTTAATGACTTTCTACAATCAATAGTAACATAATTCATAAAAGTTATATTATAGACGCCAAACCTGTGAATCATGTTGACTGCATCCACTGAACTGTGGTGCAAAGCGAGCCAGCTTATTTTTAAACGGCCTAGGGGCAACTGGAGCTCTCCCTGGTGCCCACAATTTTCTGAGTAATTCACCAAATGCCAAAGCAAGCTCACCCTGCATAAATATTCAAATTCAGAAATAACAACCCTCGCAACTCAATCCTGTTCACAGCTAAATACTAAAATATTGACATAAGAAGTGTATTTCATAGTGGATACCATTCAAATACAATATAAGTCAAATGCCTCATAAAAGGAACTAAGTTAATAAGACTCCATGATTAAAGACACCAAGAACTAGTTTGTTTTGGGGGAGGGGTGGAATAGAAATGACTCGCTTCTCTTCTAAAAGAAAGCTGTACACATTAGACTCTAGCTGAAGACATCATTTAACATTTGCAATTCCTCCCCTACATCCCAGAAAAACTTCTTATGGTTTCTTTCACAGGAAAAATGGAGGAAAATAAGGAGAAATAAAGAAACAGAAAATGAAGAAAATATAACGAAAGAAGCTTCAGCTCTACAAGCACGATCATTTGAAACTTACCACCATCCCCAGAGGATTCTGTTTATTTATTTCTGGATGGTAATCTTCACGAAAATACTGAGCAAATTCTGGTGTATGGACGAGGCACTGTATTGCACTGTTCATAAAACAAGTGTTCCCAAGATTCAACAGTCCAGTGAGACCACAAGAAGACCCCCTTGTAGCCCTCTCCGCATTTAAGTTCTGCAACTGGACTTCTGAATTGCCATTTCTGGATGAATACTTGCTTGCAGATAAACCTCCAGAAGTTTGAAGATTTGACTGTGAAGGTGCAGTCCCTAGGCTCCCATTTTGTGCAGATCCGTTCTCGTGATTGGAGCTCAAAACAGCCCCTGTTTTACCGTCATTAACCTCTACCAAGATCTGCTTCAGCCATTGCAAAGGAAATAAGGAACTCAGAATGTCTTCAGCATCACGGAATGAGTACTAGGATATTTCCTACGACATAATAGTCTAAACACTGTTTATCTGCTCCTTAAAAAATCAATCCACCATACAAGCAGTAAAAATATTTGGAAAAAAACAAGAGTCCCAAAGAGAAAAATCTTCACAATTTCTCCAATACACTGGTTAGAATAATGGTGAAATGTCACACTCCTACCCTTTCATATTAGATTTAAACATTTGACCTCAACAATATGCAGTTGAAAAAGGAGGACGGTGCGTCAAGTTACCAGGGAAACCACTACAAGTGCTTCCAGTTACACTAGCTTAAAGTCATTCATTCACATAAAAAATTGACAACAAATAATGTTACAGAAGTTAAGGTAATCTAAAAAAACCACTTCAATCAAAGATGCAAACAAATTCTAGATAACTCGAGTCTCAAAATCTAACTTAGAGCAAATATAATAAGAAAATAGGAACCTTGACTGCATGTTCACATGGGAAACAAATAATATATAAAGATAGTTCAGATTATGATTAAATAAGAGCTAGACAATGTAATGTAGTAAATATTAATTTAGGACAAGTCTTAACAGATCGAAATAATAGTTACTCACATCCTGATCCATTTGGATATTTGCATCATCAAGTGTCTTTTCCATGTCGTTCATCAGTGCATGCTTTTGGTGACTAAAGTAATCCCAAATCGACACCTGTGAGATTATAAATATCAATTTATAGACTAAAGTTACAAATGCAACAAATAAAATATCCTCAAGGAAGAGCTATTTACTTGCTTAGGTGTAAGATCAAAAATTTCACAAGCTCTTCGGTGAAGTTCACCAATTTTTTCCTGAGATAAAATTTGATTTATTAGATACTCCCAAGTACATACTCAAGCAATTATATAATTCTGTCCTTCAAGGAGATGAGGAAATGTATGTACTACCTTTTTGCTAATTCGTATCGAAGTACGATCCCCTTTGGGTATCAAATGCAACTGGAGTCGTAGAGGATATACTTCTACTGACATTTCTGTCTGTGAAAGCCCGGTGTTGATTACATTTCGAGCCAGCATAGGACCACCTCCATACCTAAGTTTCAGCAACTGAGATTAGTAATAGTTCGATCCTTTTCCTAATGTTCTCTACATTTTACAACCTTGTAACAACTATAAAAAGAAAAATATTTAAATTATATGCTTGATTCAATAAGTGCAAAAGATCACACTGGTACGCATTTATCAATTTCACAGAAAAATAGCTACTCATTTTCTGGTTGACATAGTGTACGTCATCCTTATACACCCTATATGACAGACTTCTCGCTCACCATGAATGTAACTGATTCCAGACGTCTTGTGGCAGCAGTATATAATCAGTGCCTTCAACTAAGGTATCATGAAGTTCAGTACCCGCAGCAGAGTCCTCAGATACTGAGTCATCTATTAAGTCAGAATTATCAATGTAAGACGGCCTCTTCAATAGAGTTGAGCTAACAGAATCATGATGCTCAGAAGAAGATCCATCATTCACATTGCTGGTTTGGCTTTGATTTACATACCCGAGCCAATCATGCCACCATCTGCCAATAGCCATGATTAAATGTCATGTGAACAAGCTTAGATCCAAAGAAAGTATATCTGATATAACATACATTACCAGAAATCTCATATGCTGAAAGGCCAAGTGAATAATCACAATTA